GCCCCCACCACCTCCACGAACCCCTTCCCCCGCCGCGGGCTCCCACTCCCGCTGCGGAACCCAGGACGGACTCCCGCTTCCTCTGCTGCTGCGGAGCCGGAGCACAAGGAGGACTTGGCAAGGAGGCAGCCAATGGCCAGATCACAAAAGCAGCAGTGACTTCAGTGATAAAAATTCAGGGAAAGAATGGGGAGAAAATACCCAGAAAACATCAAACGGCAAAGGCAGGACTCCTCGTGAATCTCAATTTCAGTCTTTGCACGCGGCTCACGGCGGGGAGGTCTTACTTAGCCAGTGATGAAGACGTGGAGGTAAATAGAGAAGCAGGCAGCCATGTACATCCCCGGGGCACGGCCATCGAGCAGCCTTGCAGACCAGCAGCCGTTGGAAACGCTCCACTGAAGGCTCCGGGAAGCAGAGGCAGCAATGGCCTCGTGAGCTGTGCTGGGCCATGCCGTGTCCTAACTGTAAACACCCCCTCGCTGATGAGTGGAGGACGTGCTGCATCCAGAAGGGAAGATTGGACTCTGTCGAATGAAACCCATTAGGAAAAGTGGAGACCAACAGTGGAAAACCCAGGCCTTCGGTGCCTGCCAACTCCGCTGTGTGACAGTTCTCTGTTGAAATGTGGGACCCCTGCTGCCCCTCGCGCTGGAGGCTGGAGCGGCAGGACCAGCCCAGGCATCACAGACCCCCCCCTTCCGCCCCGAGGCGCCCCCTGAGACTCCGCAGAGCTGGGTGAGAGCGTGGGCTCCACGGGAGACGGAGAGGCCGTGCATCCACTTAGCAGCCGCGGGTCGAGCTGCCTGTCTCCGTAGCCCGGGGTTGCTTTTTGTGCCATCTGGGCGAGCTGAGGGTATGCCCGCCTTCCTGGGTTCGCGAGGATTGGGCCGGCATCTGTATTCTCCGTGCTTAGCACAGTGTCCGGGACGTAACCATCAGCGAAGGGCAGCTGTCACTCATTTAACCCGTAGGTGAGGGCCCGCCAGGGGTCAGCATGGGACGCCCTGGGAATGCGTTCGGTGCCCAGCGAGACAGGCCCTGTCCCTGGGCGGTGATGGGGACAGGCTTCCAGAGCCCGCTTCCTCGCACACTGGCGTCCGCCCTGCTTCATGGTGGGAGGTTTACACAGCGTGTAGTTTGTGACCCCTGGAGAGACTTTCCCTCACCGTTGGAAAAAATATATTTTTATTGATTTCAGAGGGGGGGAGAGAGAGAAACATCCATGATGAGAGAATCATGGATCGCCTGCCTCCTGCACACCCCCTACTGGGGATGGAGCCCACAACCGTGCATGTGCCCTGACCTGGAATCGAGCCCTGACCCCTGG